GATACTAGAGTTATTTACCCTTTTTTTTAATTTACTCCCTACATTCTAAATTGGATTGCAATTTTTCATTTATGACTCAAACCCCCGCATTTTTTAAAATCAATTTATTTAAAAAATGGTATAAAAATAATTAATAAAGTTTATATATTAAAAAATTACGTCAAACATTCTATATAACAAGTGGTGAGGACAAGAATATTTCATTTATTAAATAATAATGAAAATACACAAACAAAATTCATCGAGAGATAGGTCCTAAAAAATTACTCGGTATAATCCAATTTGGGACGAGGGAAGGAGTATGTGGAACTAGATGAAATGGTTTTTGGAGAACAACCAATCCACTCGTTTCAAGTACATGTAAGGTATGCCTACATCTCATCCTTCTATTAAAAAAAAACAACATTTGTGGGGCTACATGTAAGTTCAATGTTGTTGATGAATAATGATCATCAATTCATCTATATATCATGAGAGTTATTGCAGATTTGCAGCCCTCACCTATAAACTAAAGAACATGTGTTATAATTTAATAACAAGAAGAAAATTATAGAAATTAGGTGTGGAAGCATAAGAGCTACCATTCAACCCATATATAATGGATATGCAATGCAAAGCTTTAATTCATTTTTGCAGATGGGAGTCATGATTAAAGGGCCGGGGCGCGCGGGGCATCTCTTTGCATATTATTTAGCTTTTTTGGTTGCACCATAATGATGAATGTAGCTGTTATGGTGTCCCTCATGCCTCATACCTATGGATTTCCCTAATCATGCCACACAAACCTTTTCACTCACTCAGGGCCGGCTTCGAAGATTCGATGGGATGGGTCGGAACGAGGCGAAAAAATAGACCTTGAGCCTTACAAATTAAATTATATAAAAAAATTTAGACACCCCATCTGTATTGATGGATGTCGGGCGAGGTGAATGTGTTAGTGCGGCCTGGCATGTTCTTTAATTTAAGCCAGTTACCCGTCATACTTGTGGATTATAGACCAGCGGTGGCCCAATTTCTTGTTCCGGCCCATTTTACACGCTAAGGAGATGGGCCTTTTCCCTAGGATATGATGTTTGGGCCGGCGAAAGAATCGGCGAGCCAATCATGAAAGGGGGGAAGACCAATTCCCTAATCATGATCCGCGACCATTACTCTAATCGTGGCGCAAGACTAGGGACATGGATGATTTACCCTGTAAATCTTTTTGCGTATGCTATAAAAAACAGGGGAAGTTCTATGTGAAAATCAAACTGAATCGAGCTAATTCGAGTAACACAGATTAGTATCCTAGAGTTATACTTTTATTGTACTTTGTGTCTCCATAGCCGGTGAGTTAAAATCTATCACATATACATTAAATTAGCCCAACAAGCTAAGGTTACTCCATCTCCTTTAGGAACATGAAAAGAAGAAAGGTTTAATCCAAAGTTGATGGTTTTCGTTCACATGTTTTTCTACTTGTTACACTATTTTATGGATCATATGCCAAATAAAAGTTGGGAATCCTGGGAAAAAAGGTGATTCTTTTCCTCAAAAAACATGGGATCCATCTTATAGAAAATATAAAATGTTATTTAATAACAAAAAATTAGATATAAAGAGATGTTAATAGTACTCATTGCGTCACGAAATAATAATACCATCTACTATAAATTTAATACCACATTTCATAAAATATTATATTTTTATTTAGAAAATAGTATATAAATATAATATAGATATTAACGATTAAACCGACTGTAAAAAGTCAAATAGAAAAGTTATTTAAGGATAAATGGACACCTTCAAATAAGTATTTATTTTAGGTATTTATATAGAAATAAAATAATTTTTTGAAGTAAATAAGTAGGGAGTAGTTTATAGGATTAAAAATTTTCTGGGCAGCTGCCCCTTAGGCCTAGCCCCAAGATTGGCCCTGCATGCTAGTTATTCAATCTATTTTTTTGGAAAATCATCTATAATCAGTCTTTTGAGGATTAATATGAAAAAAAATATCTATTCATATTTACTCCAAAGGATTACTTATAATATAAATTTCAAAAAATAATTAAAGATCAAATATGAAAAACACTTTTTTAAACAAAAAAAAAAACTTGATATAAGAGACTATTTACACAATTTGCTCAAAATGTTAATGATCTTCTTTTCTTTGGTCCAAAGCGTTACAAAACATCTCAAAAACCAAAAATTAAGAATTAAGCCCAATATGCCCCAACTGAAAGTCCAATAGTATACGTTTTAATTCCATATAAGACGTGGGCTGGTTCCTGCCCACTCTATTTGGATGACCTCGGAGGATATTGTCTAAACTTGTAGGATACAATTGATGTGAGTGGAGAAATGTCGGATCTAGGAATCGTAAGAATTGGGGGCAAGACCAGTATGGGGGTTCGGAGGCAGCGCCCCCAATTTCTTTTACAAAATAACAATGTGAAATTACAAAAAAAATTAATTTCAAATCAATGAAACACTAAATAATTAACAGAAAATCTCGGAAATACTTTCTATCATTTTACATTCTCTAAATAGTTTTTATTTTCAAATTATATTCATGTTGTTTCAAATGATTAACTTTTAATTCTCTTATTTTTATGGTAGATATTTGATTTTTTACTTAAATTTTATTTTTACTATGGGCATTTCACTTTTTTGATTGGGGCATAACTATTTTTTTTAAAAGAAATTGTGTACTATTTAAAAAAAATCATTGGGGGCAACTGCCCCCATTACTAGTAACCTAGATCTACCCAAGAGGTTAGGGATGTGCTGGGATCCTGACTAGTGGAGGTAGAAACTATTAATTATACGAAAAGAACATCGTAGGTGTTCGAATTGAGATAGCATCTTCCATGGCCACCTAAATATATTGGCCATGGAACCTGCTTGATAACTAATCTACGGAGAGCAAGGTTGAGGTGGCTTTTGAGAACAAAGGATTTTCAACGGCAAAGGCATGTCCGAGTTGTTAAGACTCTCTCACTAAAATAACTTTCTCAAAATTATTTATTTTTTACTTAAAATTTTCTTAAAAAATTCTCTTTCGATTAATATATTTATTTTACACTTATTAATTATTAACTTATCTATCATATTATATCTATTCGTCAATAACTTATTCATCGTATCTTATCCCACTTATCATTTTCAAGGGTTAAAATTGGAAGTATTTTTGTACACTTGTTTGGAGGGTAAAACAGACTTCAAATAAAATGCCAAAAACTCGGATACAAAATCTAGTGAAACTGACTCTCAAAAATCCTAGTGTACTTCACCACGCTGAGCAAGTGTCTGACCCACAATGTTGAAAGAATGATTAACAAAAGACACACAATAACATGAAAAAATGACACAAATGATATGCATTTGATCATGTGAATAGTGAACATAAAGTTTATTTGTGGACGGAGAGAGTAGTTAACAATCTCGCTCATGCCACTGCAGAGAAGGTATCCACCCTCCACCATCACCCCTTTCTGATCAAAAAAGTCAACAGTGAGAAAAAGACCACACACTACAAATAAACAAAAACTTTACGAGCAACCAATATTCTTCGTAGTTTCCCCAAAGAGTAAACGAGTACAGATGTATTGCCTCCCTGATCAAATGATGATAGCCGTCCCTAACTGTGTACCTTCCCCTAATCTCACCCTTCCAATACCAACCATCTATACACCTAACATTCAAAGGCACTCAAAGGATCTTAGTCACATCTCGTGGCTCAAACAAATTCTCTACCTATGTCCTCTTTCATGAACCAATAACACAATTAACAAAGTCGTTGATCCACATAACTAATATTTTCTCTGCCATCAGTGTACTAAAATAAGAGTTCTCATTGTCTGTTAACCAAGGAGCACCCCACACCGTTGTGTTTGCACCATCTCTGATACAACGCCTTGACCCACCCCTTATTAAGTCCAGAACCACCAATATATTTCTTCAATGGTAACTACGATTATTCCCACTTTTCAAAAACGAAGTTGCAAAATTCCATTGCATTACCTTGCAACAAGAATTTTGTAACCGTTGTTAGCAATGTCATTTCCATTACAAATTCTCGTAGCAAATACTTGCAACGACAATTTCTGTTGCAATTTTTTGATGCAATGCTAATGCAATGGAATATCCATTGCAAATAGGAATCTGCAACAAAATTTCCATTGCAATTAACCATCAATAATAGAATACTATGAAAATTGCAATGGATTTGGCCATTGCAATTCAGACCAATCTTGTAGTGCCTGAAAGACCAAAGAATCTGGGTTGGTAAAAAATCTCTCCCATGTTTACCCAACATAACAATATCAAACATACGAATTATACAAAACGAATTATACAAAATCCCAACCCTGCAACAAGCACAATCAATATTCCTAAAACATCAAGTGAAACGACATTTAAATATCGTTTTGAATTAAATGTTTTGAAAATTATTGTATTTGATGTCAATTTAGTAGCAACCCGGGTTGCTAACTCGTTGACTCACGTTACGCGGGTTGGGGTTTACAACCTTGTTCATTAGATTCTTTTCCCTCCGACCCAAAGACATTCATACAACTTGAGATTTGAAACCAAACTAAGCTATTTGTGACAGAAATTATTCGTATAAAATAACTCCAAATCTTGTAGTGAGAAGAATCTCTTTCCCTGCTTTGGACAACAATATCCACCACCAGACACTTAGATTTTAATAAAAAGCGTAAACAACTTGATAAAAGTTTGATTTTAAATTAAATATAATTTATAAGTCGACTTATATTCACAAATCAAATTAGATATTAATAAAAAATTATTTTCTCTTTGTATGTTACAATATATTTGACTAAAATTATTTTCAAAATTATCAAATGAACAATAAAAATAAAGAAACAAAATAAATAAAGTATGATTCTGTGACTAATAAATGAAAAAATAATTTTTGAACAAATGAAACAATTGTTTTAAGATTTCAAAATTCTATCAAAATCATCCATAAACAATTTTTTTCCAACGAAAGGCATAGGAGAGTGCTCATTCAAGGCTAATCCCATAGACCCGAGCTTCCCTGATATTGGAACACAGGGTTAGTCACAGTGCACAATTTAAGCCAAACGATCTTTGCATTTCTTCGCGGTAGCCGTCCAACGAAACTCAAAGACGGTCGGAGTCGGAGCGATACGGCGGGGAAAATGAGCGGAGCAGCGAAGAAAGTGTCCGACGTTGCGTTCAAGGCCGGCAAGACCATCGATTGGGAAGGAATGGCGAAGCTTCTCGTCTCCGATGAGGCTCGCAAGGAGTTCGCCACCCTCCACCGCGCCTTCAACGAGGTCAACTCCCAGCTTCAAACCAAGTTCAGCCAGGTCCCTTCCTTTCCCCCTTATGTGGATTTAAGTGTTGGTTTTTGATTCGTATTATCTGATGCGGCCTGTGGATCTGCGCAGAGATAAGATACATAGCTTTTGAATAGCCTGTGATGTTTTGATGGATTGATCTTCTCGTTTCTCCTTATTTGTGTGAATTATGTTCTTTTTTTGGGAAGATACTGGATCTACAGTCTCGACTTGGGCTGAGATCTCTTGATCTATCATCCTAATTCCTAAGGTTCTGTTTGATTTTCATTCAATGAAAAGTAGTTTTTTTAAATGTTTTCTTTTTGCTGGAGCATATGTTTGTGGCTAGTATTTTAGAGCTGTGCTGTGAATGGTCATGGTCCTATGTCTGAAATATTTTTCTGAATTGATGTTTTAGTGAGTTATCAGTTATGTCAAGGGAAAGAGTATGAAAATTCTGTCCCATAAGCTCGTGTAGCCTTGTTTTGCACTGAATATGCATCTACTTTTCTTCTGCAATGGAGTATTGGATTATTTTGGTTTCTCAAAATTCTGCTCAACTTAATGTCTAAATCCAAGATGAGTTTCCCTACTCAAACTGTAGTGTACATGCCAGTGTATGTATAACCAATCACAATTTTTTTTAAATTTTCTGATAGTTCATTTGTTCGGAAGGATGATCACTATTCAAGTTTTCTCGTGTTTCTCATCTTCTTTCGAAGCCATTTTCCTCTAAAGGAATTTCATTGGCCTATTATGGCTGTTCAATTTCTTCTAAATGATGCTTATTTTACCTTGTTGGATGTATGATTAGCATTGTACACCCAGATGTACCACATACAAATTATCAGTCCAATGCAGTAAAAAGAGTAATTACTCCGTACAATATCGCCATATGAAGTTACATGATTTCTGACATGTGGAATATTTTTTAAACTATACAGGAACCTGAACCCATTGATTGGGAATATTACCGAAAGGGTCTTGGTTCTCGCCTGGTGGACATGTACAAGCAGGCATATGACAGTATGTTCTGTTTTCACTTTCAATTTCCATTGAGTAACAACTGACTGAAGCTATGTTCCTGTGAGCTAGGGCCAGAGCATTGCATTTCTTTACCAATCTTAAAATTCTTAAAAGTGATTGTAATCTTTACCATTCGTTTTAGTTTTAGAATTCTTAACAGGGTCATTTTATCTTTTGTGTGACTTATGACCAAAAAAACAAGTTGACACTCATAAATAGAGTGTTAATACATTTTGTCATGCATATATAGGATTATACCTCTTAATGGAGATTTCTTAAATTGATAATGATCTTAAAGGTAATAATTCGACTGTCATAACTAGATAATGTCTTTGTTTATTTCTTGTAGCTACCGGACTTAAGTTTCCTGGATGGTTATTAAAATCTGGAAAAGTTATTCTTTCGACATAAATTTGGACTCTTTTTAGAAGCTATTCGTTATTTATTTTCATTTGACCAAGCTTTTTTATTGAAGTTTTTACTGAGTTTTAATCATTTTGTTGTATGCAGACATTACAATCCCCAAATTTGAAGACAAAGTCACTGCTGAGTACAAGCCAAAGTTTGATGCATTGGTATGATAGTTGATGATATCCCCATTACAATGCCTATATTTGCTCCGGTTCTTTTTTTATTCTCATCTTTTATTTTCAATCATCTCTATAAAATCAGCTCTATACCCAATTTATAATAGTTACATTGAATTCCTCATATACATATCATTTGGTAATTTGTTGCTAGCATATACCTCATACCTAATTAAGTTAGGCCACCATTTGGGTAGTACATCAGGGCTTTAAAGGAACCAGACTGTTCATAAAATATTTAAGCCCTAAATTGGGAAAATTGATTTGTTCATTTTTTATTGCTTAATCAGCATAGTTTCAATCAAGCTTAAACTGTTATACACTCGACCTTTTTTAGCAGTACGTACAACAAATTAAAACTTTCAGCACCTTACTTATTTGGCTTGAGAGTTTCTACCACACGTGCGTGTGTTAATTTATAGTTTCAGTTAAGTGTATATAGTAGTTTACACGGAAAAATTCTTTTGACTTTAGAAAAAAATGAGTTGAGAATGACACGGCAGGGTTCTTTTGACCTTGATGGTTCCTGCAGTACTGCCAGGGGCTGGGGGGTTTAGGAGTGGGTTAGGGGGGTAGGAACCATCAATTTTACCAACAGAGCACCATAGGTGCCCGTGTCATCTTCAGGTCAATTTTTTTTAAGGTCTAAAGAACCGTAGTGAATAAATTAATGCAAAAGGTTCCCTGCTTGGCTCTTTAAAGACGGGTTGATCAAATGAGAGGGGTCACAATATCGGTTGATCAAAGAAGTATAGAAGAACAATAGAGGCATAGAGCTATCAGCTATAGATCAAATGAAAGATGCACTAATGCATTATGTGGTCAGTCATTCAGTCTACTTTAACTGGAAGGGGGCTTTCAGTTTCTCATTATACAGTAAAGCACTGTGTGATTGAGACGCACCTCACCTGTGCATAAGGCTCTAACGCAGCCTTTTGTTCATCACTTGTCTCAACTTCTCTGATGTTTTGTGCCTCGGACGGCTTTCACAACAATTGTAATGCTATGAACATTTTGTGGCCATTATCGTCATAGGTTATTCCACATTCATAAAAATTACTCTCTCGGTCCCAAAATGAAGGTAATTTGGTGGATTCTTGTCAACCATTGACCATTTTTTTATAGTAACCATTGACCATTAGTCCATTAATTTCTCTTTAAGTATAAAGTAAAAATATCCTAACTTTGATATCGTTATATTTGTGATGAAAAGTACTTGTATCATAGTTTGTAATTTTTATAATTTTGACAATGTACTTTAATAGTCCGTATAAATTAACTATCAAAGTTTGGCATGAGTTTTCATAGAGGCCATTCGCCTGTTACCTGTTCATCATCTGTTTTGACTGATCATCACTCTTTGAAGAACTCGGATTCATTTTTATTTGATCCAAGTGGCCCTACTCAAAACATTGGCTCCAAGTGGTATAGCTTTAGTGATGTGTCTTGTTCTACTTCGGCCCTCCTAATAAATTTCCTGGAACCACTGCACACACACACACACACACACAAACACTGACTCAAATCTATATAGACGTGCCCGCACACAAGTTCTTAATTGAAGTATTGAACTTGTTTTCCTTATTCCTTGAGCATTAATCCATTATAAACAAAAAATCATGAACTGTATTCAAACTGATTGATTGGCATTGGAAACAAACCTTTTTATTAAGCCGCTTTCATTTTATTCACAAACCTTTAGAGCATTTTTATGCTCTAAAGCTCTAACAGAGAATGAGTTCTGTCTTTACTTGTATTCCGAGTTTTAAAATGATCATGTAAAGTCTGACTAATTGTTCATTTCTAGTTTATACTTCTACATAAGTGGGAAACTGGAAAACAGAAAAATGGTTTCCTGTGTTCCAAACAAACACTGCCTAAAATTCTGCAACATATGTGAAAATCTAGTTCTTTCTTCACTGTAGCTTGTAGAGCTGAAAGAAGCTGAGCAGAAATCTCTCAAGGAGTCTGAAAGGCTCGAAAAAGAAATTGCTAATGTCCAAGAGCTGAAGGTGATGCAATTCTTCTTTTTGCTGCATATATTTTGTGCGCGTATTTTGGGTTCTAATTTTTCTTATTTGTAATAACAGAAAAACCTCAGCACTATGACAGCAGATGAGTACTTTGCTAAGCATCCAGAGCTAAGGAAGAAGTTCGACGATGAAATTAGGAACGATTACTGGGGTTACTAGTCAGTCATGTGGATCGAACTGCTTTTGGCACTTCTGGTGAACTTCTATTCAGTTCATCCTTTGATTTAGAAATAAGAGAGAACTGATTTATTTTTGTTTCTCTGCCTTACAGATTCTCAATTACCAATTTCCCTACCATTAAACTTGTTGTGAAGGCATGTCTCTTCAATTTAAAATCGGATTGATGATGATACTGCTGCTTGCTTTCTCCATCCCCTCCCCCCCACCCACCCCACCCCCACCCCTTACTTGGACGTCCCAAATTCTCATATTGCCGCTCAAAATAAAAAACACCTAATTTTTTAGGGATGGTCTTTGCAGGACTCTCAAGGTTAGGGCTCTTGCCTCCTATAAAAACACCACTTCAACCTCATTTCACCACTTCTAGTGGTCTGAGCTTCAAATTTGTGGGGACGCGAGAGCAACGTCTAGTTTTGTCGGTCTTTGGTCACCAAACAAAAGGTACACTTTTGACCTTTTGTCCAGATATCTTCAAAGGGTTGAAAGGCGTTTGGACGAAGGGTGGAAAGTGTATATTTATTTGGAGGGCTGAAGACGCAGACAGATGTAGAGAGGGCTGAAGACGCAGACAGATGTAGAGTTCTTGTTAGGGATGGCAACAGTTTGGGTTCGAGTCGGATAATATGATGCCCATTTTCTAAATAAATACAAATGGTCATGATTAACAAGATCGGCAACCGAAGATAGGGTTTTTTAGTTTTAATTATTCGGGTTTGGGTCGGGTTGATTAAAATCCCAAATCCAGAACCGGCCTAGATTAGTGTCGGGTTCGGGTTTGATTTTTCGGGTCGGTTTCGGGTTTTGAAATTTTTTGTTCGAATTTGGATATTTTAGTATTCGGTCGGGTTGGTTAGGGTCGGGTTCGGACGGAGCTGCTACACTTCAGCTGGAGCTTATGTATTTGGGCAGAGTTTCTAGCCATCCCTATTGGAGCTGTAGTTATGTTTTAATTGGAGGCCATGGGCTTGACCTTTGAGCCCTGCGTGAAGCCCATCTTGACCCACGCACTTGGGCTGCGCTTCAAGCGGAGGAGAAGTGACATTTGGGCTTGTGCGTACTTGCATACCTTTGAGGGCACAAAAACTACTCCTTCCGTCCCAAATACAAATTAATAACTTAATGAGTACATTGCACAAAATCAATGAGTTTCATTTTCTATTAAACAAGAATTTGTGTTATTTGAATTATTTTATTATGGATTATCAACCAATTGTTTTCTAAAAATTAGAATTATTTAAAAAGGTTATCTGATGGTAACTTTAAACATTATCATTTTTAGAGTTAATCTACGCCATTTAAATTTTTTCAAAAACTATAAGGTCCCATTTGATATATGGAATTCAAACTATGGAATTGGAATTGAAGACTTCAATTCCAATTCTGGTGTTTGGTAGCACAAAATTTATGTAGATTTGGAATTGATAGTGCAAAAAATGAATTAAAATTGACAGAATTCAATTCTATGGAATTGAATCCCATTAAATTCCAATTCTAATTCAATTCCAATTCCACCAATTCCTTATACCAAACGGACCCTAAGGCTAATTGTAAAAGGTGTTTCCAAACACTGTTGGACAGGAAACATGTTACCACTTTACTATTGAGTTCAGCATAATTTTGTCCCTCTTGTTAGACAGTTAGGCAACATTTAGTTTCTGAATTCTAATCTTGACAAATGTTTATAGAGAAATTTAAATTATGCTATGTTAATTCAATCCCCATATTCTCATTTAGGCCATGTGATAACTTCCTACTTTTCTTGAATTATGCTCTATGGCTCCATTAGTGCAGTTTGATTTTTTTGCCAAACTAGATAAATTTTGATCGTCAATTAAATAAAAATTATATTGTATACGGAGTATAATTATATGCTTTTTTTTTGTAAAATAAATCTAATGAAATGATTTTTGTATTAAAGATTAATATATAAACGAGTAAAATATATTTATTTAATAAAAAATTAAAATTTATCTAAATTAATTATAAAAATTAAATTAAACAAATATTTTGAGATAGAGGTACTCTAAAATACTAGCCCAGTTCCTAGAGCTGACAAAACAGAACCAGAACTGATTACCCGAACCGAAATATCCGAAACCGAAATCGAAATGACCCGAAAAATGAAGATTCGATCTATAACCGAAAACCCGAAATGATCCGAATCGAACCAAAATCGAACTAAATAACTCATATCCGATTTAAATCCGAAACCGATTAGATCCGAAACCGATAATATCCGAACCAATTAAACCCGAAACCGATTAGATCCGAAACCGATAATACCCGAAACTGATAAAACCCGAAACCGATTAGAACCTACATAGATAATTTTGGAAGTATGTTTTCCTTTCAATAAGCATATTATGCTTTTAAAATTTTTACTTTTATTTTACCATTTGAACTAATTATATTACTTGCTCATTCTCTCATAAAATGGATTACATGTTTTAGTCTGGCTACAATAAGTTATCATATCCAAATTTCTAAAAAAAAACTTATAATGCATGTAATTTTATAATTAAAAAATTATAATAAATACAAATAAATTTTAATTATCAAAGATGGTAAAATAAAACAAAAAAGTAAAACTTTTCCTTAAAAACTAAAAATATATTTTCTATCAAAATTATAAATATAATTAGTCAAATAAAGTGTAGAATAAAAAGATTCATATAAGAAATTAATAAATACATCATACCCTCGCATACTACGATATCTACAAAAAATGAAATGTCTAACAAAGTTATTTAAGAAGAGTTAATGTATTATCTTTCATATGCACATACATGTATAATATTTATGTATTCCATCAATAATAGACATTGTAATTGGATTACTTAAAGAGTTATTCTCTTATTTATTTAATGTGAGTTTTATTTTTTAATATAATACGGAGTACCATTTTTAAATAGCTATACTTATAAAAAAAAGTATGCGAGTCAGTGCAAAGCACGAGATAAAAACTAGTTGCTTCGACTCATCATCCCCAAAAAGTGGTAACACAATCCTAATACGATTTGAATTTATCTTTTATCTTTTT